TTTGATGTGTTCACCATCAGGGGCGCGCGCGTTGTAAAAACTCGTCGTTGCGTGGCGGGTTTCCTTCCATTAGGACCGGGCGTAACTTATCCTTAAGGAGCATCAATCTTCAGCTATCGAACATGACGTGCAACTACCCTCTCGTTTTTAACCTCGCGCGGCGAACCGTGGATAAACTCCCAACTCAACCAACCCACGAGGTCGTCTTGTGAAAGATTTTGACATTTTCGAATATCATTTTTGAGATTGCGCACACAAACACACAACTCTTTGTTCTTTGGACTTCCTGCGAGGCGTCTAATGATGAATTTCAATCACATGTTTCTGATGATGTCAGCCTCGTAAATAGTTTTATACAGAGTGTTGCAGAAACTAATTAAATTTGATTGTCTGTAAGGCGTATAAATGTAATCTTTCTTTATTCTCTAATTTCGTCTGATGGTGGATGTGGTCGTTTGCGTTTACATTCGAAAACTTTGTCGGTTGTTGGGTTGCTCCATCATTCCGCTTGTGCAGACAACATTCATTACTTTATTAAAATTTCTTACGATTCCCCTCCGACGGCCTCGAACACATCCCAAAAAGTTTAATGGACTATTTTGCGAGAAGACGCGACGAAAGGAGATGAGAAAATTAACGATTCCGGCGAGAAAACTTGACACCGCAATTATCGAATTGCCGCGCAAGAGTGTTGCTACTGATTTGACATTCGAAATGTTTTACGAACAGAAAATTGATCACATCTAAATGCTCCGCTCGCAGTGTGGATGTGTGACTTTGTCAAGTGTGTTTCCACGGCAACGCGCGCCGGATTCAAAGTCATTACAATCAAACGCATCGAGGGCGAATTCTGCCACGAGTGCAGGTACTTCATCTCGACGTAGTCGAACATAGGTGGGCACTTCGTTAGCTGGTTAGCACTCGCATTAACCATGTCGAAACATTCCTCACATACGAAGCGCAAATCGAATCTTGCTGCAGGAGCAGGAAAAATAGAAAGTTTTGTGTTTTAGATTTAACCTAGGCCCCCCACTATACACCAGTGTTTGCCGCATTGCCTGCAATGCACCACAGCGCCACAATCTCTCGATAATAACGCGACTGTAATTTTTATTTCTTTGTTGGACAATGATTGAAGATTCACTTTGAAACTTCAAGTATCAAATTTTAGACCAAAATGTGTTATGTTATATCTGCAATAATGGCTTGTCGTTTTCACATGTCGGGCTCGCTGTTTTCCAGTTTCGGGATAAAATCGCATATATTTGCACGTGCGCGATTCCCGCGCGTCTCCGATAACTAATGTTTGATGGGCTGATGTGTGCTTGTCAATATAAACTTATATACGTTATATACACTGATAGTGCATTGGATGATGATGATGATGAAGGATGATATCGGCGATATTTAATACGGGGTCCATTAAGGTTTTCCCTTCTCCGCATATTCGCGCATATTGGAGTATAATAGTTGTTTTGGACAGGAGCGGATCATTTTCGACTAAAAACAGATTTGAAGAACAAAGTTCCACGCATTAAACGCTTCCACTTTTTTTCTCTGTATGTTTGGGGGACGTTTTTGGCAAATTTTGATTTATCACCCTTTTCTTTAAGTTTCCTATGGGTGGCAATTTCATATTTTCGTATATAACTTTTCAATCATGTCTCACGATTTGTTGCACTTCATCCACTTTCTATTTCGATATTCGATTCTTTTCGTTGAACACGCCGCGAACCGAGAAAATACATATTTTCCAATATTTCGAAAGTCATCCTGCCGAAGCTCGTCCTTAAACTGTTCAACTCGAAACTCGTACACCACTAGAGTGTGCATCCGTTGATCGTGCTGCGCGTCACATCTTGAGGGTGCTCTAGCGCCGCTGCCACGCCGCCTCCTTCCACCCCCAAAGCCAAGTTGGTTGCGTGTGCTGTGCGCCTTCGGTTATCGAACTCTTTCCGCTTTATTTCTGTTTCCAACCGGCAACAACTTTTACCTCCATGTAGTCTTGCACTCGATAACCTTCACGTAGGCAATTTAACTTACATCTAACCTAGAAATTTCGAAATAATGCAGAATTTAATAACATGTTAGTTTTTTTCTTTTCTTTTATTTTCACTTTTACGATGATGTAATGTGTAAAAGTCAATATTTGATGTTCGTTATTTTTCCAACGGCGAAAAGGGTAACTGGCGGCGGTGGTGGCGGCGGAGCGGAGCCGGCGACCGAAGGAAAATTTAATTATGCAAAGACGGTTTTAAAATTTAATTATACGCGTCGTGCAAAATTCAGCGCGCATGTCGACGACTAGGTAACTTTTATTTTTCATTCGCACACAGCAAAAAAAAACACAAAGACTTTTAGTTTTAGTATAGTTAAGATATCAAAATCACATTGCATAATCTTAAACCCTACTTGAAGAGCCAGGCATTATCCTGCAGCTACTTAAATTCGGTCATTAATCGCGCGGGTAACTTTCCGACACGCCGGCGAACATCATCGAGTCACTCGTCAGTCATTCAACCCGGGGAGGGCATCGAGTGGCCCCCGACGCGGTTAATCATCAAGGGCATTGCCGGAAAGGAGGTTTTCTCCAACCACAAAGATCCTAGATTTGTAGGTAAACATCTTGGGCAAAATTACACCTTTAAAACATTGTAATTTGTCATCTATCAATACTATACAGGGTAAACAGAAAGATGCAAATTTTAAAATAATATTTTTATGAATTTGGTTGAGTGGGGAGAGGAAAAAAAGAAATGTGCCTGTTGTGAAAAGCAATCGGAGCACGGCGTTTCAAACCGATATGATCATCAATAATTTTTGCCGCCGCCCGCCGGCCGTTGTGTACAGCTGTAGGCGGCTGCATGTATGAATTATTACTTTCGGATTGCGGACACTTCTCGTCCACGCGCGCGCGCACCCACACACCAACAGGCTGCGGTGATCGTTTTCGAGAAAAACGGAAGCACGCGGAAGCGGAAGAAGGAACAAGGCTGCGCGCACACCAAACTAATGTCCATGACGACCACCGCCGCGGCATTCATTGCCAAAATGTGTAACAAATATGAAATATCTCTATGCCACACCACGCACACCGAATGAGATACAGGAGATGTTCGATTTGGTGTTTCCGGATTGCATTCATCATTCGTTGGACTAGTCCTTTGGACACATCGATTTATTTTGTTTCTTTTGGTGGAATTTTGATGTTTAAAAGAAAAGAAATTGTAAATAATATTGTTTATGTTGATGCAATTCGATGATGCCGAGGGTGGTTCTCGGAATGCGCTTGGTCGGTGCGCGGCGGCGGCGGCGGATTGCGCGCGCCGGATCGCCCCCGATGCGGAACGCGCCGCGCCGCGCTGCCGCCACTGCGCGCCGAGTCTCCGGCCGGGAAGAAGACTCTCCCACATCGTCAGTCGTTCTCCAGACCGGCGCGGCGGCGGCAGTTCCGCTTCCGCATCTCAAACCTTATTCGCGATACTTGTCTTTTGTTTAACGTGGGACTTGTACTTTCAACTCAAAAATTCGTGCACAAAATAAAAATCAACAAAAATTTTTTGAAAACAAAAATAAAAACAACATTAAATAATAAAATATTTATTATAAATAAATTAAAATGTGATTTTGGACTTGTATAACTATAACTTTGATGGAAAGTGCCAAGTGAGAAGTAATTTTTGAAAAGTTTCGTAAAAATTTAATGAAAATGCAAATGTGTTTCAAACAAAAGTTTCACACGTCAAGTCGGCGGTGGCGGCGACGAGGAAACTTTAAACGAGTGTAAGTTGAAAGCGCCTGGCAGTTTGAACTTTGTGTCCGGCGATGGAATTTTTGATTTTGCACCTCATTAAACCGCTAATTTGCGTACAACGCATTAATTCGTGTTTATGAAATTCGAAATTAAAACTTTGCCTCTTAACAAACACTATTTCGACATTAATTTCATCCCACGGCGCGTCTCTTCCGACATCTTCCGGTCGTAAAATTTGCTCAGCTTTAAGTCTGCACGTAATTAAAATGATAATTTAAAAGTTCGCAGCGAATTTTCACGCTCGAGGAGATTTTTTCGCGCTGTGTGAAATTGATGCAAATCTGAGTAAATTCCCAGCCATGTACAATATTTGTATGCGTAACCGAGCGTAAGTAAATTTGTGCAAATTTTATTTCGTTGCATTTTATTGCGTTCAAACATATTTCACGACTTTATTTTCTCTAAGTTTTAAATTTGTGTAAATTGTGTTGCATAAATTACGGGCGCGCGACGCAAAGTTGTTTGTTTCGCGCAAAGAAAGTCAATGTGGAAACATCCCTTTGTGTTAACCCCCCTTGACGACGGAGCGGAGATAATAATATACGAGCGCTCGCAAAGAATCACGCCGAAGACAAGAGACACATTGAGATGGCAAAGTGCTTCACATCATCACAACCCTCTTATCAGTGACTTCACATTATTAAGTTTTTTCTATTTTAACTATCGAACACTCTGTATAATGTCCTTGTGCTTGCGAAACGATCCTTTCTTCTTGCGCCGCTCCCCGGGATGTCTTTGTCTGTAAATGAGTTATGACCGTTAGGTTACAGGCAAAGCGTTCGTGGTAAAGAAACAGGGATGAGGGATGAAGGATGAGGAATGGTCCTGTCGTCTCGGCCGGGAAGTGTCCGTGCACTAATTTTATTACACGACCGGAAAACGTCAAAATTCCGAAAGGTGCAATTACAATTAACTAATTATCTGCTCTACTCGTATTAAAGGCCTTCTTCTACATCGGGAAAATAAGAATATCAAATGATTAGGACTTCTTCGAGGCCTGTCATTAATCCGCTAATTAAATTAGGAAATCTGAGCGTGCCAGAAAAGTCATTAAAGTCATAAAAACGGCCCATCGAAGACGACCACCACTTCACTTATTTTTAATTAATTTAATTTGATTGCTCGTGTTGCGCTTTCTTTTTTTTTTCTGACTCATTTTTAACCTCCTCGTTCTGTTTGATTACAGATTACGCCCCGACTGGAATATGAGATACGTCTTTAATTCTTTGAGAGTGGGGTTGAAACACGCGACAAATTAAGGAGAGATTATTCAAAGCGGAAGTCTTTGTCATTGTCGGCGGTGGATGTGGAGGTGGAAGGGTTTTACAATTGGATGATGGCGGTCGGCGCGCATGGTGAAAAGCGACTTGACGAAGGATGCCACCCGAGAATTTAATATAAGGTATGTGCGCGTGAAAATCATTCACACCTCAAGTTGCAGAATTTTTCGTTTTTTTTTTTGCCTGGCAATTTTGAGTGAGACATTTTAAAGTTTGTGCAGACTGCGCACAATTGCACCAGAAGCGCAACTTTGCTTCTCGTATATTGTAATACTTGCAGAAGTTAACTATGTGCGAGTACTCCAAGTTTTGCTGCACTTTAAAATTGCGAAATATCAAATATTCACAACATACGATTTCAAACTTCCGGTGTCGCTAGGAAAATTTAAATAAACAAATTTGTAAAATTTGATTAAATTTTTCTTTGTTCCGAGGATTGTTTAATATTATTTTTTGAATTTTCTGTAACACCCTGTATAATTTATGCGTAACACCATATTGAAGTAATATTGTGATGTCGATTTTGACTCCGCGCAAACTTTGCCACTTCCCAAACTATTTGTGCTGATGTTTGCATTCTGCTTCCATTTTGTTTCGATGTTGTGCACCAGTTGCACACGAATACTCGTATCTTTTGAAATAAGTAGCGGAGGAGACTTAGTTTAGTCATAATATTTTTTTCATCGCATCGGGATTCTTCTCCTCTATGCGCGCCGAAAAGGAACAAAAGTATAAAAGCGCGCGCGGACAATGGCCGCTTCTTCGTTTTTATTGATAAGGTTAAAGAGCGTATATTCGCCGCTTGCGAAAAGGAAATTCCGGCGCGCGAGCCAAATATTTTCGAGTCTTCCATTCCATTTCGTTTCAATGCGACAACGGCGGGCCGGCAGCCGTTGACGACGTGCGGCGCTTTGTAATATAAAAGACTGCCAATATAGTTAGCCGGTTGAAAGGAGGGGACGGAGTCCTGCTGCAGGACGAACAACACACACGTATACAAAAAATAAAAACATATATAACGCGACAAAAAGAGCTAGCTAAGGAGGCGAATCAAGCGATGAAATCGAGTGTAAATTTGTTAAGAGGGTATATTACAAAGGGATTAATTCTTTTTTCTTCTATATTATTTTATAAATCTACTAGAAATTGTAAAAAAAATTTATTTTAGGTAAAATATTTGCAAAAATCAACAAAATAATGAATTTTTTGTTGAATTTTTTTAGAAAAACTTCAATATCTTTGAAAATAATAATTGCACATAATTAAAAAACATACTAAATCTTTCTAAATTAAATTGCCTGTCTTATGGCGTCAGTAGCTCCATAAAATGTTTAATGGTTTGTGAACGCGAGTCAAAAAACAGTTTTTTACCCCCACTCCGCAGTTCATATATTTCCTTAACGTGGTCGTTGTCGCTCGCGTAAATCAAATTGAACTCCTCGACACACATAGATCGCCTTAGATATAAATATATTACCCTAACAAGACCGTGAGCAAAGGAGCGCTGGTAACTAGTGAAAGAAGTTTAAAGCGGAAGTTGATGTTATTTGCAATGAACACATAGAGTATCCCTGTATGTATGCATGTGTTTCGTGTGTGTGAGAATCACACGGTGCTTTTCTGCCTCGCGTCGCGTATAAAAGAAAATTGACGTGTTAACAAGCGTCTATTGAAAGTTTTATCAAGTTTCATTCCAGCGGCGGCGGCGGCGTAGTAAGCACACCGAACGCTTTCGGCGTTTGCGTCGATATTGAGTTTTGTTGTACTCGTAAACTTGAAGAAATATTCCGCGAAAAGTGCAAATATATAATATTGCTGCTTGAGTAATAAAATATTATAATTGAAAAATTGTTGTTTTCATATTTTAAGCGGAGAGTTGTTTGTTGTTATTGTCGAATTCATTATTTATTCCGGTTTATTGTCGTTTCAATCGAGACGAGTCTTTTTGTTTTAAGTCGTCGTTGGTGGTTGACAAGCACAAAAGCAAATGGCTTTTATGTCTTATAAAATAGAGGGAGGTAGTTTGGGGGTGGGGGTTGGGGGCGGCTAGGGACGCTAAGAATAGAACGACGTAAATTTATCAACAGAAAAATACATACAGTAGGTTTTTGGTGAAAAAAAATTATTTTTGTAAAGTTTTTAATTTTTTTGGTTAAAATTTAATTTTTCTTGCCCTAGGGCAGTAAAATTAACTGTGATGAAACATATAAAGCATAAAATATTAAATTTACTCGAGGTGAATTCCGGTGACACATTCGAATGCAAATACACGTTCATTATGCGCTCGGCGTTATTTAACGAATGTGAGGTTATGTGCGTGTGTGTATGGCGCACATCGTTTGTAATTTGGTGTTAAAACATTTGCCGGCGCCGGCCATTCGGGCGCTTTGCGCAAATTGGGCAAATATGGTGCGTGCAGGCCCGACCGCACACCTAACTGCCACCGTGATTATACCAAATACTGAATTTCACACAAAAAATACTTTTATACACTCTAAAAATATCTTTATATACAATGTGTTTAAATTAATTTAAAAATAGTCCTGAAAACACACTGTATATATTCTAAATTTATTTGATTTCTGAGGCGAGCCATTGTTGGCGATCGTTTTAAAACGACAGACATGTGTAGCACTTTAATTATCGCCAACCGGACGGGTTGGCGGTATACATTTCACAACGGCGGCGGCCGTAGCGGTGGCGGCGCATATTTTGTTTTCGGTTTAAGCTCACGCGCAGGTTTTCGACCGAAAGGCTCATGAGTGGAGATCATGGACTCGCGTGTGTGTTTTTGCCGCCCCACGCGTGTGACAACAACGAATATATGAGCTGCGTTTACAATGTGTCTGTGTTGAGGCGGCGGGCAAACAGAGGGCGCGCGAGCATTATGCGCACATCCCCCCGGTTTGCATAATTTTTGCGTTAATTCTCGCCGGGATGTGTGGAATAATACAACATTTAAATGTGAAATCCGAGCTTTGCGATGGCGCCGCCGCCGCCATTGCAGGACTGGCAGCCATTACCCTATTAGGACAGGCGCGTGCCGTAATGCCTACGTAAATAGGGCATGTGTTACTGTGTAAAACACTGTTATCCAGCGAGGAGTCGCGAGGGCTCGTATGCATTATTATGCATTAGGCGAATTTGTATTTTGTGACATTTTTTTGAATTCGGGGGGAAAATCTTTGTAATTTGAGTCTAGCAATTTATAAAACAAAATATTTTAATTTTTTAAGTGTTGTTAGATTTATTTTTATTAAAGTTGTAGTTTTTTCTTGTCTGGAAAAGGTTGAAAGTCGGAAAAAGCTGAAAACCGTTTCATTGTCTCACAAATTGTTTATTTTTATTCATTAAATGCTTGTTTCTTACAAAGAAACTCTGTAGTTTTTCTCAAGAAGATTATTAACTGCAATATTAACTACAATATTATGTTTATAGTCGTTTAAAGCCAAAAAAACTAGATACTTTGTAAGAAATTTTTGTCTCATTTTTTTTAAAACACAGACGGCCAAGGCCGTGACTAAAATACTTTATTCACGGGCTTTAGTCACGGGGTGGAGAAATAATTCTTTATTTTCACAAAAAAAAAATTATTAACTGTATTTTTATAATTTTTAAAATCGTTAAAACATAAAAAAAAAACTTTTCACATTTTTTCTAAATTTTATTTTCTCCATGTTTTTCTTTGAATATTTCGCACAAAAATTCGATTTCTATTCGAATGATTTATGTATACAATCAAGCAATAAGAAAGCAACATCGCAGCACATTTACTTTGCGTCACGTCGCAGCAAAGCCCTTTCGGCTCGAGAAAAAGGCGGCGCACGTTAGCACACTGCATCATATGGTCGAACACTCGACTGGCAAATATCGAAGACGAATGCGATATGAAATATCGAGCAGCACAGCATTCGCGCCCTATCGCCGCGCGAAAATAAGACCAAATGGAAATGTGTGTTTTTCGACTTGGCACGGCGCCCCGTATGAAATATAAATATCTTGCCGGCGCGGATAAAGTGAAATATCAATAGCACACTGCTACACACTGCTTTTGAACGCTCCGGGTATTCAAGCAAGTGGAATGATCATCGATATTTACTAGCGCATATGTATTGATTTCCAAATGAAACTTTAATTAATTGTGAGGTGAACCGAAACACACATAATACACGTAATCATTTTCGTCTGCCGGGGCCTAAAATGTTATGAATTATTTATCTCCTGCTAGATGGAAATATATGTATTGCTCGAGTTATTTCATTTTGTTCGAGATTATTTTCTCGTTTTGACGCACTTTGCCTCATTTTGACGACGCGATATAAAATGAGCGATAATGTTTTTCTCTCTGTGCGCGCCCCAGAGAAATAAAGAAATAAAACGCAGCGGCGGGAAATATTGCAGCAATATTGAAAAATACAGAAATTGAACAATTTTATGGAGCCATGTCTCGAACTGTGCAATAAGTCCGATAAAAATGAAAATCGTTACAATAATAATGATACTCTACGATGATTTTTCTTCTCTCCTCTCACTATTCGCAGTAGTTTCCATTAGCACTTGATATTTTCCTCAAGAAATCAAATATATATTTCATTATGTGATATTAAAAACGAAATAAAATAAATATTGGTTTTATTTTCGGGTGGAAATTGTGGAAAGGCACACGTTAAGTTTATATTAAGCGCAGTTTACATATACTTAACATCGTAGGGGGGTGCGGCATGTGCGCGTCGAGTATTGCGTGCACACACATTTAAAATTAACGACTGAATTAATGAGCAACGAAAGGCAAATACCGACGGGCGGCGGTGTCGTCCTATTTGGAAAACAAACAGCCGAAAGCCGGTGTCAGTGACGATGCGGACCAAAATCCGGTAAGGGTTGGAGAGAAAAAGGGAAAACACGTTAGACGGAAATGAGTAACACGAAACTTGCATATACAGGTTGTTAAATTATTCTTTTTACTTCCATTTTTAGTTTTTTCATAGTTTAGAGACACAAAAAGTGGGATTTTAACACTAAAGTACTTTAGTCACGGGTTTTAGTCACGGGGTGTAGTTTGGAGTAGAGTGCGAGCGAATTTCAAAGATTTAAAATAAGAAGCTCAAAGTCCAAAAAGTAAAAGTAGAAATAAAGTGGACATGTGACTAAACATTATTAAACACTCGATTGATTAAACGCTCGTTTTTAATCAATCTCGTGACTAAACCTCCCGTTTAAACACTTGATACTTAATATACTACAAAATTAACTTATGCAGGAATAAAATTTGAAACACTCTGTATGAAAATACTTGTACTTTGTACATACTCCGTCGCACCTGATAAATATTAATTTTCTTTCACTTTATAAGCATTCATTATTCATAAATGTATGCCGGGGCGAGATGTTGACGACATCGTTCAGCGTGATGGTTGCCTACACGACGCCGCCCCGGATTTTATTTTCGCATTGTCACATTGTGTCGCTGTGCTGCCTTTTACAGCCACGCCGTGTTGGCTTTATCGTTTCTCACCTGAGGGTGAAAAACGACGAACACTCTTTACGCGTGCAAACACTTTCAGATAACTAAATATTTTGTTGCAGATGAACCAACACACCGGGCGATTAATAATTAATAATTTAATTATTGCTGATGGATGGATGGAGTGTAACGTGTGAGTACTTTTTCGAATTTAATTTTTTAATTTTAATTTGAGTGCAAATTAAAAGTGTGCTTGAAAGAGGAAAAAATGGAGAGGAACTTAACGCCGTCCGATTTAGGCAGCTCTCATGGTATATCCCTATTTTCATTATCCTCTTTTCGCGTAGGCGGCGAATGGCGTTAGCTTAGCCCTTAGCCGGCTCGATCTGTTTGGCTGGCGTTATAATTAAACTGGGAAATCCGGCAATAAGGGGCTCTTTTTGTGCTTTCGTGCCCTCGAGCTCTTCATGCGCATACTTTTCTTCTGTTTGTATTTTTTTTGTTGCAAAATTATCAAAAACGCCAAAACTAAAATTGCAAAAAATACAATTTTTTGTAAAAAATTAATTTTACATGAAAAACGTTTAAAATATTAACATTTGTAGTTGTTAAAAGCTTAATAATGACTAAAATTAATTTATTTTTTATCAAAAATTTGAAAATTATTTAAATTAAATTGCAAAAAAATCATTTTTTTACCAAAAATTAATTTTCATTCAAAAGCACTTAAAATATTTACAATTTTAGTTTTTGATGACTTAATAATTGCTTTTTGAAATTATGCTATTATCATAACAGCGGGCAAATCAACAATCCCACCGAATTAATTCATCAAACGTCCATCATGGGCTTGCAAATGTATTTCCATCAAAACTAGGAACATAAATATTTTCAGATTCAATTTTTGGCGTTCGAATCGAAAATTGCGTGATATTACGGGCTGCGCGGCCCCGCTAGGAAGAGCAAAGCAAATTTGTTTTGAGTAATTTCCTTGCAAAAACACATTCCCGGCGGCGGAGCAGGTATACGCCGGCGAAACTAGGCACATACACACACACATTGATAGACTGGAAAGCGCATTCAATGTTATTATGAAAGATCTACTTACATATTCTTACATATTTTAGCGTTCAAACATTTTCGGCGGCGGCGGCTGCGACGCGCGGTACACTGCTGAGGCAATTTCTCAATTTCGTTCGCTTTACAGTTTTGTTTGTTTGCTTCTTCGTCCGCCTTCGTCTCGCAGCTCAAATGTTGACACACGCAAAACTCTTTCAAAACATGCAACATACAGGGTGTATGTGTACACATGAACATTTTGATTTAAATACCGGTATTTTTTAATTCTAAATTTGGATATACCGGTATATAAAAATATCCGTATTTGTAAATAAAAATACCGGTTCACCGGTATTTCAAACCTCAAAAACCGGTATACCGGTATTTATGGCAATCATTATTTTTTGGAAAACGTTTAATATGTAAAAGAAAAAAATACCGATATACCGATACCGGTATTTCACATTTCGGGTAAATATTTAAATAAATAAAACAATAAAATTAAACAAATTTCCAACTCCGAAAAATGTCCTCCGGAGTCTGATGTCGATAACACCTAACCCGAATGAGGTACGTGTAGGATCGTGAAGGACCCGAACAACGAATGGCGGCTCATCCGGTTTTAATATAATCTCGGTACATCATTTCCTTTTATGTCGCGCACAATCCGGCATCCGGCGCGTAGTTTCGGATAGTGGCGCACGTACTATCAGGACACGACGACAATGCACGGAAATCGAGAATCGTGGCACATTGATGGAAAAAGGATGTGCCATCCTAACGATTTTTGGTCGAGATTCAATGCTTCACCCAAAACCCGTACAACTCGAATAAAACGCCCTCCCGGAACAGGAAAAAAATCAGTTTATTTTATTTTTGAATTTTTAGAATTAAATAAAACGTTTTGAGCTGTGCGCTTTTTCAGCGCGTTCGCCATTTTGCTCACGTCGCCATAAGTTAGACACGCGTGTAAAAACAAGCGGAATTTTTGGCGTAAAAAATTGCCCACCAGCTCGAGAACTCGGCGCGTTTTGCACACATGCGATTTAAGGGATGCGGGCGTAACGCGATGTTGACGCGCCGGGGAAAAAGCGGACGCCCGGCGAAACAGATAAAAAGATTGATAGATGAATGAACGCCAGCGCTGGGGAAGAAGCAGAGGAAGAAGATTCTTCTAACCTAACTTTATGTGAGTTGCACACACGCGGCCATCTTGGATTCAGCTCTTATTAACGCTTTTTCCTACTATTATACTGAACGTTGTAATTTTTTCCCTTTTTCCGGATACTTTGATGGGTGACGGACATTAATTCAACGCTTCCGGGTTACGTTTCATGGCGTTCAGCTTTAATTCGTTTTATTATTCGCTTTCTTCGTGAGTTTTTCCGGTTTGTTAGTGTCTTCGCTTTGATTGACTCCCATTTATATCCTTTTCGGGCGGTGGTTTTTCCGGTCCTTTGTCCTGTTGGCACTCATTGTGTCACCGCCGCAATATTGGGCAAAAACAGCGACCTAATTGCTTCATTTCGACCCGTTTTCCGCTTTTCCGGTTTGCCCACCTTTTCGCACACAACAAAACAGTCTTGGTGTCTATTGAATAGGGAACGGAAATAAGATGGCTGCTTTGTGTAAGATGAAAAAGTGACGAACGATTCTTCCAATTAGTGCCGTGGAATATTTTTTCCGCATGAATAATCAGAAGAAAATGAAAATATTTTTCTTTTCCGGGTTTCCATTTCCGTTTTCCGGTTTTTGGAAAAGTGTGACAATTACATTGCTGGTACTTTCATCAATTGCACCGTAGCACTCGGTTTGTGTTTCGTGACCGGAGCCCCGAGGAAATGGTGAAGATTTCGTTTTCGATTTTGATTAAGGAAACCGTTTATTGTCTTACGCCATTACGGGAAGCCGAGCTCGTCGTGCTGGCATTTCCGAATCGAAGGAACGAAATCAGGAAGGAAAATGCGGAAAGAAAAGGCGTGTGCACGCCACTATTCGATATCTTGCGAGACTTTCCACCGGGGTCGCATTTTACTGCCGCTTGCGGCAATCACCACCACCACGACATACCATCTGAGCGATGTCCACATCCACAAACTTCATTGCAATTGCTTCATCTTGCAATTTATCTTTCCCAAACACCGCGAGTATGTTTGGTTGCCTACAATAAAATTGTAACTATGTATAATCTAATTCAGACTCCGAGCGCTTTCTGGGAAAGTTTGCCAACACATATGCCACCAAAAAACAGGTTATCGCATAGGGTCTTGGTTTCGGGGCCGGCGGGTTGATGTATGGAGATGTGGAAATGTCGGCGACGTGGCAGACTTAAACTATTGCACGAATCTTCCGCACATTTGCAATTGCTATCTCGGGCGCGCGCCCTGGGTAAGACAGACTTTCATTTCTGTGAAAGCCGAAAGCCGAGGGACGTTCACGGACGCCGGAGATAGAATGGAAGTTTCGGCGGCGGCCATCCTGACAGTGAATGACGTTTCATCTGGCGAATCTCTGCGCACAGTCTAGAATTTCATTTATTCTTCAATTTTCAAACAAGAATCAAATCGAAAAATCTACGATTTTATATTGTGTTTGCATTCTGTACTCATACTCATACAGAAAAATTCTGCAATTGGTCGATGGGAATTAGACATTCATCACAGCACAATTGTAGCCAAATTGAATTATACGTTTTGCGGGGCGTTAAAGCGGAGCGGACTTTAACGTCTCCATCACGAATTGTAATCACACACCACGCAGCAGCAGCAGCCAGCGTTTCGTAATTTAATAGAATTCGCAATCGTCTTGTTTGCCAAACGAGGGAAATACGTTTGTTTCGATTGTACTTACTTAGCTCGCCACCACAACACCCCTTGTACGATGAGATGAGGTGGATAACGAAAGCTATGGCTTAAGTATTTGCATTACAGTTAGTCGGCGGGGCTGTAATGAGTGTTTAAATAGAAGCCGATTTCCATTTCCATTTGTTTCGGATAATAAAATTTTCGCCGCTTGTTTCGTTTGCCACCGCGCGCGCTGTAGAGATAAGGGCGTGGGTGAAATTTGCATTTTCACATTCGTACAAGTGTACAAGAGCTCCAATTTGTTTTACTTTGTAATGTTCTCGCACGGTGCACCACGCGCGATGCCGCCGCTTAAATAACTTGCGAATTTTATTCGGAAACATTTTTGCGCGATATTCTTGTCTACATCTAACATCGGATGGAATTTGTTTCTCCCTTTTGCGGTGCGAGGATTTCGGCCCGAATTGTCCCGGCGAAACCGGAGCGGCTTTGGCGCTCTCAAGGGGAAAACTTTGTGGATTTGCCTGGGACGAATAGAGACGGTGTTTATAAGCTTTCGTAAATTCGCTGACCGTTTCTGTGAACTTTCCGTGCTCGGATACGGTGGCTATGCGTTATTGGCGCGAGATAATTCCGGATAAATATGTCACCCATTGACAAACTTTTCGTGGGGGGATAAAGTCTGCGAAACAGATTAAAACGGACATTAAAGTATTTTTCCCGGGGAGAAAACATATGCATATTGAGATTAGGTATCGATACGAGGTTAGGGATATTGGAAAATAAGGTATGTTTGGTTGCATAACTAAAATTTTAGGTTTTTTTCCTATAAAATTAGCAAAAAACGAGTTTTGTTAAATTTTCAAATTGGAATATCTCTGAAAATATTAAATTTACAGTATTGATAAATATACAGGGTGTTAGGTAAATTATTCAGCTATATTTTCACAAAAAATTAAAATGTTCCAATTTCTAGTTTAAAAGATATTTAAATAAATTCCCCGATGCGTTTTGTGAATTCTAAATCGGAGAGTTTATCACGCGTACGTTTTACACTTCCACTCCAGCCAGTATCCCGCCATCAATTCTGTTTAGGTTTATAGTTTAGGTTACGTGCAGATTCGCCTAGGTGGTTGCATAGATTTAACACGCGCGTGTTTCTCCGCGTATAAATTTTATATGAATCCTAATAAAACGCCCGTTTATATCTTTCCGCGCGCCGCTCCCCGGTTGACCATCCGCGCTCTCCGAGCAAAGTTAACACACAGCCGCGTTTTATTCCCCTCGTTCACGCGTGCATCCAAACACCTAAAACACATTGTTGTCGGAG